CCAACCATCCATCCACCCATCCATCATCCATTCATTCACCCATCCATCCACCCACTCATCCATCCACCCACTCATCCATCCACCCACTCATCCACCCATCCACCCACCCACCCACCCACCCATCCATCCATCCACCCACCCATCCATCCATCCACCCATCCACCCATCAAACCATCCATCCACCCATCCATCCATCCATTCATCCACCCATCCATCCACCCACTCATCCATCCATCCACCCATCCATCCATTCATCCATCCATCCATCCATCCATCCATCCATCTCTCCTCTATTCACTATCCATCACTTCACCCACCCACCCACCAGCCATCAGTCATTCATCTACCCACCTTCATGCATCCATCCACCATTCATCAATCTACCATCCATCTGTCCATTACCCATGCATCCATCCTTCCACCCATCCTTCCATCCATCCATCTGTCCACCTGCCTGGTGCTGCTCTAGACCCAAGGGACCCATGTTCAACATGAGAGGAAAAGCTTCACCTTACAGGTAAGAAATGGCATAAACACACAGGTAGATGACAAAGTGACATGGGAGCACAGGGGAAATGAAAGAGGGGGAGGAGTGAGCGAGCAGCAGTGTCCAGCACAGGGGCCTGAAGGAAGTGTGGTAGCGCATCCGTGGAAAACAGCAAATGCAAAGGTCTGAATGATGACTGTCAAAGGTCAGAAGACCCGTGTGAGGGAGCAGAGGGGGAAGGGAGGTTAAGATGAGGCAGGAAGAGGGTCCAGGCTAGCCCGCCAAGCATCTTACTAAGACAGGGTTTTTATGTTAATTCCAGCTGGTGAAGGCAGAGTGCAGGGGTGAATGCAGAGGCAGCAGGAAGGCTCCTGTCAGCTCTGGAAAAGAAGGGGTGGGGATGAGGGGAAGTAAAAGCAGACCTCAGGGGTTTAGGGCCAGGCCTGCCCTTTCATGGACAGGGCACTCGAGAGGGCTAGGAGGGCAGAAATCAAGACTCTGCTTCAAGTTTGATAAGACACACAGGCCTCCGAGTGGATCTCTGAGGAGAGGTCAAGGGGAGGAATACACGGAGTGAGAGGGGTCAGTGTTGGGTGGCCTTCATAGTTTTTGGGCCAAGGAAGCGAAGGGTGCTCAGCTGTGTTCAAGGCTGCTGAGGTAAGAGGAGGTGAGACAGGAGTGAATAACTCTGATGCCATTGAGGGCTGCAGGGTCCCAGGAGTGTGAAGGAAGAGCCATCTCTCCAGAGACAACATAAAGAAGGAAGCGAGGGCTGCAGGTAGACCGGGACCAAGGCGAGAGAGAGTGAGGGTTCATTTTAGGGCGAGAAACCACGGTTTCAATCTCAAGAACAAAACTCGTTATGGATGAGCACGCTTAGAAGTCCTGCAGGCAGCAGTGGGCCCTCGAGCCAGGCAGTACAGGCTGGAGGGCACACGATGCATCTGCGCCTGTGCAGAGCTTTGAAGAGAGCAGGCTGAGGAAATCTGGGGTCAGGAGAAACTGGCATTTTCTTCAGCTTTGCTTCCCAGGGATTCAAGTACCAAGGTCATGGAGAAACGAAGGGGGGCAGGAGTTTTGTGTTCCCAGAAGGGAACAGGTGCGACAGCCAGAACAAGGCTGGGAGAGGAGGCGCCCGCAAAGCGCTGTGGGTTGTGCAGGGGCAGCTGGAGACCTGCGGGAGTCAGCGAGCTGGCGTCTCGCCCTCTCCCGTGGCCTGCCGTGGGTACAGGTGCAGAGTGGGTGGAGGCTGCGGGAGGTACAAGGACAGGGAGATGGTTGGAGCCTGAGGTGGCCGCAGGATCTCTGCAGAGCCAGGCTCTACCCACGTGGGTCACCTGGCCAGTTCCAAAGTCAGGCACTGACGTCTACTGTTCTCGGTGCCCTCCATCCCGCAGCAAGGCCTGCGCACAGGAAGCGTTACTCGGGTAAATGCGGGTACTCGGCGCACGGTTTTAGTCTAGGTTTCAGCCATGATGCCTCTCTGCCACCTACTGACCGTGATCGGAGTAGAGCCTGAGTTGAGCGCCACTAGGGTTACCAGGCTCCAGCTAACAATGGCCGACTGAAAAAAGCTGGACGGATGCTCTTTTTGTCTTTTTTCTTCTTCCCTTTTTATTATTTTGTATGTGCGTGAGTGTACTTATAGGGGACACGCGCATGACAAGGCGATCATGTTACGATCATAGAGTAACTTGAAGGAGTTGGTTCCCTCCCATCGTGTGGGTTCTGGGGACTGAGCTCCTGTCATCAGGATTAGTGGCAAGACACCCTGATCTATTTTGCAGTCCCCCCCTCCTCTTTTTTTCTTTTTCTTTAGTAATCTCTGCCTTCCCCGCCCCCAGGTTCTGGGGCTCTAACTGGGGTTGTGTGTATGCTAGGCAAGAGCTCTACTTAGATGCCTTTTAGTTGTCTGTCTTCCCCACTTAATCCAACTCATTCATGATGCTTGCTGAACACTCAGCTCCGGCCACATTACTGTGGGCACCAGGATTAGTCAGAAAACTCTTTAGCAAGAGTTAGGTTTCTTGGGTCAAATGCCTGAGGTGACTACTTAACTTATCAAAGTGGGCCTGGCCACCAGGTTTCCCCTGGATCCCTTAGTCTCTACCTGTTACAGGGTCCTCCTGGCTGGCACGCTCACCCCTACTCTGTACTCCCCAGCCCAGGGTCTGATCTGCTCTTTCCTATATAATCTAGCCATTTTGGTTACCCACTCTCTTTGTACCTTTGGGCTGCTGCACCTGGTTTCCCTCGCTCCCCTTCCCCTCCCCCTCTCTCCACATGGCCTAGCTCAGTCCAGTCACATCCACTCTGGACTCTCCTGGATGTCCCTGACTCTGGATATCCCCTCCCATACAGCTACAATGAACCTTCTCCTCCGCTATACCTAGGAGCAGTCCTGTTTCCTTTCCTTTTCTATTGGTTTGCTTGTTAGTTTTTGTTTCACTTGGTGCCGAAACAAAGGACCAGTTATGTTCCTTTCCCTTTTATTTATTTTTCTCATTCAGCAAGAACATTCCATGTAGGGGTGGAGGAAGACAGGAAGTGGACAACGATAGAGAATGATAGGGTGTGAATTCGGAGAATGGCTGGGAAAGGCACGGTGACGGGGAGATGACGCCAATGGAGGCACCAGATAGGCAACGGCCCGGGAGAAGGCTGGCACAGAAGGGAGCAGTAGCAATAACTCGAGAATTTGGCAGGTCTGGGCTGATCCAGGAGGTCAGAGAGAAGGCTCATGAACCGCCTGCCTCAGCCGCCTGCATGCTGGGATTACAGGCATGTGCTACCACTCTGAGCCCACAATATGAGCTTTGTAAAAAAACAAACCAAACCAAAACAAACAAACAACAACAACAACAACAAAACCAAGAAAGGGAAATGTCTAACCCTTTAAAAAAAAAGCTTTCTATTTATTATTGTTACAGTTAACTGTTTCCCCAATATTACATACAGCCTGTCTTAAGAATTCCTGGAACTTAAGAATTACCTACAATCCTGATTTCTCATTCCTGAATCCCTCAATTAATATCTGCTGGGAATTTAAAGACTGAGTGTGTGTACATGCATGTGTGTGTGTGTGTTTTGAGTGTGTTCCTGTGTGTGCATGTGTGTGAGTCTGCTCATGTGTGAGTGTGTATATATACATGCGAAGACCAGAGGTAACACTGTTGTCTTTCTCCGTGTGATTTTCCACTATATTTTTTGAGACAGCATCTCTCTCTGAACCTGAGACTCATTCACTGCACTGGGCTAAACTGGCAGGCCAAAGCTCCATGGACCCACCAGTCTCTGCCCCGCCCAGTGCTGGGGTTACAAGTACAAGCCACCACCCCTGGCTCTTCTAACATAGGTACTGGGATCCAAATTCAGGTCTTTACCCACTGAGCCATCTCTCCAGCCCCTTGGGGGTCTTTTTGAACAGACCTCTGTTAACATCTGTTGAATCTGTGTTCCTCTCCCATCCCTAAGGCCACCTCTTTACTTAGCAGAATTTTGTCATCTTTTCTGACCCTGTAGGTCGGTCTCGGGCACCTATAATCTACCAAACATCTTAGTCTCTTAAAGCTGACCCTTGGGATCTTCATTCAGACTCACTATATCAGAGTCTCTGGGAGTTGAGACAGGAGACTGCATGCTTAACAAGTAGTCTGGAAGATTCTTTTTAAAACAAAAATCCAAGGACTGGAGAAATGGCTCAGCAGCAGTCAAGACTATATGCTGCTCTTGCAAAGGACCTGAACTCGGTTCCCTGAACCCATACCAGGTGACTTACAACTCCCTATAACTCCTGCTCCAGGGACATCCTATTCTGATCTCTGCAGGCACTCCACATGTGCAGTGTGTACGCACATGCGGTGCGCGCGCACACACACAAATAAAAACAAATCTTTAAAAAGTAAAAAGCAAAAACCCCTACAAATGGAATTTCATTTTTAAACATTAAATTCTATTTATTTGTTTATTTTGTCAGGAATGGGCATATACCATGACATGTATGTGGGAGGTCAAAGAACAACTTGTGGGAGTTGGTTCTCTTCTACCATCATGTGAGCGGCATGCAGCTGCTC